ATCATTCTTCATCACAGAGTCTCCAACGGTAAAAGGACCAGTACGGGATAAGAAGGATGGGCGCCATATGTTGTCTTGAGGAGACATAGCTGCCTCTTCACCAAAGTTCAAGTCAAAACGACGGTCAGATGGGCCAGACATTTTCAGAAATGATGAAGGAGAAATGAGGTCTAATAAATCTCCGAAGTACAAAAATAAGGGGAAAATTTTACAAGCAATAACTCTCTTAATGTACTTCTTGCACACAATTGGTGCCCTTATAAAAGAAAGGGCAACATGGCCGTTGGTTCAAAAATCGAAGAGGCACCACTTTCCGGATTTCGAAGAGGCACCACTTTCCACACACAACATCAGCTCATCGGGTATCACAGATAACTTTGCCAAAAATCTCTGACAAAGTTTAGACACATGAAGCTTGCAGCTCCCACTACATTGCTATGACCAAGAAGGGTAAATGAATAGCAAAGAAAGGGCAACATGGCCGTTGGTTCAAAAATCGAAGAGGAACCACTCTCCAGATTTCGAAGAGGCACCACTTTCCACACTCAAAATCAGCTCATCGGGTACCACAGATAACTTTGCCAAAGATCTCTGACAAAGTTTAGACACATAAATTTTGAAGGTCCAACTATCCTATTATTACCCATAAGGGTAACGAAACAGCACCACTGCTTGATAACTAGAAAGTCCCTATGTGTGTCAAACTCTATGCTCCGTGGCAAGGCAGACTGGCAAAAATGCCCAACCTTTACTCACATTCGAGAAAACACTCCTAACAAGATTGCTTGCTAAAAAATCGAAGAGGCACTGCTCTCCGAATCTCTAGAGCCAGACTCCCAACAGGATTACTTGCTCAAAAATCGAAGAGGCACCTCCCTCCAAATCTCGAGAGCCAGACTCCCAACAAGATTACTTTCTCAAAAATCGAAGAGACACCGCTCTCCGAATCTCAAGAGCCAGACTTCCAGCAGGATTGCTTTCTCAAAAATCGAAGAGGCACCGTTCTTCGAATCTCGAGAGTCAGATCCTCGACATGATTGCTTGTTCGAAAACCTAAGAGGCACCGCACTCCGAACTTCGAGAGCCCGATTTCCTTGGATAAAGTTTGTCTGCAATCTTCACACGCAACATCAGCTTTCCAGATACCACAAACCACTTTTTCAAAGTGTTCTGACAAAGTTAAAACACGTGAAGCTTGCAGCTCCCATTACATTGTTATGACCAAGAAGGGTAAAGGAATAGCATTACTACTTGTTGTTAGGGAGACTCCAATATATGTCGACCTTCATCCTTAACGGACAGGCAGACCTACAAAAATGCTCAACTATTCCTCATATCTGAGAGGGCACTCCCAACGAAGCCTCTCGAAATACTCAGTTTTCTTCCCCCCCCCCCGATAATACCTCTGCAAACAAGCTACACCAGAGCAAGAATATCTCATATCATCAGGGTTAAAAGCAAGAGTATCCCATATCATGCTTTTTCCCTGTCTTTTTTTTTGGCCTTGTTCTTACCTGCAAGACAAGGAGAAAGAAAACAATCAGTCAGCACTTGGAATCAAGCTTTTAGTCAGGAACTGACTGCCTGAAACCCCTTTCCTGATTACTTACCTGGCATTGCTCTCGAGTACTTATCTTCAACATCTTATGCTTCCAGAGAAGATACCACATCTGTCTGAGGAACAGATAGGGCAAGTGAGAATGATACAAGGAAGCATGTGGAGACAAGCGTAAGAAAACACGTGCCGATACATCCACTACTTTGTCAACAGCAAAAGTATCCCATATCATCAGGGTCGAACGTACTCTAGATTTGATGGACTTGTTTTGACTCTCAAATTCTTTAGTCGGCCTTATACTCTGGAGGAAACCAGAAAACCTCCAGCCCAGTTCAAGAATAAGCATGTGGAAAGTTACTTTTTCAAAAGCAAAAGTATCTCATATCATCTTTTCTCATTTTTCTTCTCTTTATCATTCTTGCTGCCTGCAAGATAGGGAGAATGAGAACAATCAGCCGGAACTCCAAATCAAACTTCTGATCTGGGACTGATTGCTTGGAACTCTGATTGCTTACCTTGTCTGTCACCTCTTTCGGCAAATCTCCTAGCTCGGCGACTTGGGGGACTCCTACTACATGGTTTGTATCGCGCTTAACCAAGCCTGAAACTACAAGTAAGCTTCCAGTCAAATTGATACATTACCTTGTGCATCTCCACCAGTTAAAGATACCACCCCTGGATGCAAGAAAAGTACTTCCAGAGAGGATGCCACATCTACCTATGAGACAGATAAGGCAAGTGCGGACGATGCCACACTTTGGTACTTAGAAGTTTCGTGATTACTCAGCGGCTTGGATCTTGCAAGTCCCCAACCGATGAGCTTCCCTCACTCGGGAACTTAGGGGAGCACTGTTTGTACCATACTTGACTAATCCCGAAACTACCGAGCACCGATCAACGTTATACCGTCAAGGACCCAGAAGAGTTTCCCTCCAACCAGAAGGCCAATCACAGAGCGAGACATGTCGATATCATAAGCCAATCATAACGCGACACGTGTCAACATCGGAAGCCAATCACAACACGACACGTGTTAATGTCAGAACAAGGCTAGCAACTCTCTTCTATAAAAGGAGATCATTCTCCCACAATATTGGCTAATGTCATTTGTACTAAATCATTCACTTGTACTCACTAAAGGAGAGCTTGAACCTATGTACTTCTGTAAACCCTTCACAATTAATAAGAACTCCTCTACTCCGTGGACGTAGCCAATCTGGGTGAACCACTTACATCTTGTGTTTGTTTCCCTGTCTCTATACATTTACATACTTATCCACACTAGTGACCGGAGCAATCTAGCGAAGGTCACAAACTTAACACTTTCTGTTGTACCAAAGTCCTCATTGATTTTGTGCATCAACAATTGTAATTTTATTTATATTGTTCATTTGAGGATAGGTCTATTGTTGTGCGGGACGTTCTTTTCCTTCGACCGGGTTGAAATCCCGACAAGGTTTTTATCGAGGCCCATTATGCACACTGTGGATGCAAATTTCTTCCTCCTTGATCTTGGATAAGATTGCACCTACAAAACAATTAACACCTTTGGTTAAGGCCAAAAACCTCACGCACCCACGATGAATGGGGGGGCTTTAACCGAAGAACCTCCGATGCCAAAGTTAGAATTTAGAGAGAAAAGTGTTTAGAGAGTTTTTTGGAGTTTTGCAAGAGTGTGGACATAGGTTTTTAGAGAAAAATGAGTATTTATAGGGCATGGCCGGTCCCCTTTGGAGAAAAGGTGGCTGGCCCTTGGGATGCTTTTGTGTGCATTTTGTGGTTTAATATGTGAGTTATTTGGGCAATTAATGGATTAATTAGGTAATTAATCCATTAATTAGCCAATTAACACATTTTTGGAATGAATATTTTGGAGGTTATGTAATTTATGTGGAATATTTTGTAAGTTATGGAATGATAGCTAATTGATTAGCTAAAAGAGGGAAAAAGAGGTAAAAAAATATATGGAATGAAATAGGTTTTGGGAGTTACCTTGTAAGAGGGATTTGATGAGATAGTTTTTGAATTGTTACATTTTTTGGGCACTTTTGACTTGGTTGAGAGGTGACTGCCCACTTGTCACGCATAGGAATCCCATTGTACCTCAATGGTACTTTTGTCCTCTTTTGTCTAGAAATCCACGTGTCGCCTTATGATTATTTTTGGCTCCACACACACTATCCTCAGTTTGTACGTATTCTAAGTTGCTTAATGAATATTGTACCTTTTCTTAAAAAAAAAAAAATTGTGCTTGTTTGTGATGTAATGCTTTGCTTTGCTTTGTATTTATAAATTATCGAAGTTGAATAGGGATTTGCACAAAAACAATTACTGTTTAGAGCGAATACAAGGACAATTTCATTGGCCTTGCCCTTACATTACCTTTGCCCTCCTAAAACGAGTGGACTTACTCTTACAAGTGATGAAAAATACTACCAAACATACTACTAACATTTGTTTTTAATTAAGGGGTGTCCAAACAATGTGGCTCGTCTTGTTGGTATGCGTGACTATCTACAACAGGTTTGCAATTTTAATTTCAAATAAAACTTGCAAGTTTTTGTGCATTTCTCATTAGTAATGTTATGATGTATATTTACTTGTTTCTATTACAAGAGATATTAATTACTACATTTATCTACACTAAATACAGGAGGAAAGTATTAACTACATTGGAAGAGGAATGAAACTATTCAAATTACAGACAATAAGAAGATGAAGGTTTAGAAGGAAATCAAAGCTTGTATTGATAGTTGAACAATTACAGAAAATGAGAGAGAATGTACAATTTATACTGGCCTACAAAGTAAGTAACTCTAACCTTCTAACAAACTCTTCCTAACCAATCTCCACTATTCAATCATAAACAAATCTCCACCATACATATGTTAATAAAAAGGTCTAGAATTTAAATTTCAGATGAAGTGTGCTGAAACCCCATTCACCAAGGTCATCCATCACTTGCAATGTCTATTTATTAATACTATTATAAGTTTAAGAAATAATAATCACATCTTCAACCAAATTAGAATCCATGGATGAGAAATTTTGTCACACACCAAAAGAAAATCAGTACTACAAGAAAATAGGCTAGGGAACCCCTTGGTGTCAATTGATTTCATTGCACACCATTTTTGGTGTCAAAGCCTATTAAGCCACCAGACAATCAATCAATCACCAATCAATCATGATCGGTGGTCTAAATAGCAGTCTTCGGTGCCATAATCGTCAACGTATACAAGTTGGTGGTAGAAATGACCCTTGAATCAATAGAATCAACTCCTAACTAATTTAATGGTGATGTAATTGTGTTTAAAAAATGTTCTTTGTCATCAATATGTATGGCCTGTTTTCTTGTAGTGCGCAGCAACAGTTAACCATACCATATAATTTTTTTTTTCCGAATATAGAAATATATTAGATGTGAATAGAGAGAGTAGTCCTACCCAAAATCATGACCCTCCTTGAAAACAAACTTAGCAACCGAGTGAGCAGCAAGATTGCTCTCCCTAGGCACGAAAGAGAACGAAACAGACATCATCCTACGCGCTAGAACCTCAATATCACCAAGAATACATTCAAGACTGAAATCATTAAGCAGTTCATTCCTAAGCATCTGAATAATAACTTTGGCATCAGATTCAATAACAACATTATCAAACCCGTAATCAATACAAGCCAAGAGAGCGATCCTAATTGCACAAGCTTCCCCAGCAGCCGCAGAGTGACACATCTCAGAACCCGAGCCACCCGCTTCGTGAAGAAGCCCCGCAAAGTCACAGCAGACCCAGCCCACCCCATGCGAAGGAGCGTAGTCTTGCACCACGAGGCGTCAATGTTGACCTTGAGGACCCCGTAAGCCGGCTTCTCCCATCGACAACCCTCATGATCCAAGGAAGAGGTCAATGGTCGACACCTAGGATGATCTCCCTCAGTCACACTAAGCGTAGCGTCTCTGAATTCATAGATGTTCCTTCTCCAAGTCTCCAAAACCTCCAAGGGCTGCCGGTGCACACCATTGAAAACCACCTTGTTTCTATTTTTCCACAGTCTCTATAAACCAAAGGTAAACTCCTGCATAATCTCCTCCGCATTATCCCTCCCCTTGACCCGAGACCAGAACATCTCCCAACTAGTTAGGAAGTCAGCGCCTACCAGGTCAAAGGAATTCAACTGGAGCGGAGAACAGAACCAAAACAGATGGCTAAGATTACATCGAAAAAAGAGATGATTTTTCGACTCATCCACAACACCACACACTCCACAGACGTTGTCCACTCTCATATGTCGCCGCTTCAGATTATGACGAACAGCCGGTGCATTGTTACAACACCGCCAGATGAAGATTTTAATTTTGTTGGGTACCTTCAAATTCCAGATCAAGTTCCAAGCATGGCAATTTTTTGGTTTTTCGCTAGCAGAACCACGACCTTTCCTCCCCAAAGCTCCATTTTCCATAAGGTTTATAGCCACCCCGTACCCCGATCGAACCGAATAATCCCCATTCGCATTGTGATGCCACACCATCCTGTCACAGCACCCAGTCCTGCTTAAGGGAATACTTAGGATCGGGGCCACATCATCTCGATGAAAGCTTGCCGAAATCAAATCAACCCTCCAGGAGTTGGACCCCGAATCAATTAAATCACTCACCAAAGTAGCTTGCAAGTTCACCAGTGGCTTAACTTTGAAGGTAGAGGGCCTAGGAAACCAAAGGTCTTCCCTGATGTTGATACAGGCCCCGTGTCCTACCCTCCACCGCAAGCCTTGCAAGAGCACCTTACGGGCTTCAAAGATACCCTTCCATCCCCAAGACGTGTTCCTACCCTTACCCACCATAGTAAAGCTTTTTCCTGGATAGTATTTTTCCTTCAAAACAGTAGCAAGCAGCGACATCGGATTTTGGATCAGCCGCCACCCAATCTTGGCAAGGAAAGCCAGGTTAAAACATTGGATATCTCTAAAACCCAAGCCGCTGAACTGTTTTTGCTTCATTAACCGCTCCCAAGAAATCCAGTGGACTCCCTTACGCTGCTCGCTCCCTCTCCACCAGAAATTCCGGATAGCTTTCTCAAGATCTCTACATACCCCAATGGGTAACTTAAAATAACTCATGGCATAGTTTGGCAACGCCATTGCCACTGCCTTGACGAGGACTTCCTTCCCCGCTTGAGATAGAAATTGCTCAGCCCAACCCGCCAGCCGAGATTCAAGCTTGTCCCGTACCTCTTCAAATACAACTTTTTTAGAGTGACCAAAATCGACCTACAGCCCAAGATACCTACCAAACCCGGTCTTACATTGGATGCCCATGGTATGCCCAATCTTCCTCCTAACCCGGCTTGAAGTCTTCGAGCCAAAGAAGATCGAGCTTTTGGATAGATTAACAGATTGGCCAGAGCCACGGGCATATGTCCGTAACACCTCCATGATGCCTCTCGCCTCCTCCACACTGGCATGACCAAATAACACCGAGTCATCCGCAAAAACAAGTGCGAGATCGGGTTCCCATTAGGCGACACTCTGAACTTGTGAAGGGCACCCCGCTCCATTCCATTTCTAAGGAGCATAGAGAGACCTTCAGTACAAAGTAGGAAGAGATAGGGAGATAAGGGGTCACCTTGCCGCAACCCTCTCTCCGGCAGGACAAACCCAGTCGAGTTTCCATTAACTAGGATGTTGAAAGAGGCAGTAGAAATACACTCCTTGATCCAGTTGCAAAATAAAGGCGTGAACCCCAATTTCGCCATCATGGATAAAAGGAACACCCATTCCACGCGGTCGTACGCCTTAGCCATGTCAAGCTTAATAGCCATGCCAGTCTGTTCTCCTTTTTTTTTTATGAAGCAGGGAATGTAGAATCTCGTGCACCACCAAGATGTTATCCTGAATTAGGTACTATCACTTAAAAATCATAAATTTAATCAATAATATATAGTTGAGAAGAGCAAACTTGATGGGTTGAACTTTGTTGACATATTTGACAAGAACAAAGAAACTTACGACATTGAGATAGACAGTAGAACGAGTGGAGAAATGATCGCAATAATATTCATGCATGTGATCATGCAGAGTCTCTGCAGCTTGAACTCGTCATTCAAAGATAGATACAGCCAATGATTAAAATATCGATAATATCGGCGATATTTCGCCGATATTATCGTTTTGGTGAGAGTCCGATATTTTTACACATATCCACTTGATTATCGTCAATATATCGAGATAATATCGATAATATCGCGATAATATCGATATTACCGATATTATCTCGATATATTGGGCTGGGAGCCGGAGACTCCTCGAAGGCGCCACCCTGAGCGCAGATCTGAAGGCCAGAGCGGTGACGGTAGTGGCGACGAGGGTGGATACGAACGAGGGGGAGATGGATGCGGCGGGGGAGGTTGGGATGGGAGCCGGAGACTCCTCGGAGGCGCCACCCTGAGCGCAGATCCGAAGGCCAGAGCGGTGACGGCGGTGGCGACGAGGGTGGATACGAACGAGGAGGAGATGGATGCGGTGGGGGAGGTTGGGATGGGAGCCGGAGACTCCTGGGAGGCGCCGATGGCGGAGAGGACAGCGAAAAGGACCGCCATGAGAGCGACGACAGAGGATGCCTTTGAGACTGCCATTGTTGATAGGGTTTGGACCTCTCTGTTCGGGAATCTAAAAGGGCAAGGAAAGTTGCTCGTTCGGGAATCTAGGGTTCTTGAAGACTCAGAGAGACTGAAAGCACAAAGTGGGCGCAAGTTGGATTTGAGATCCAATTTTGAGGTTCTGAAAGTGAAAGGGCGAAGAAGAACGAAGATGAGGGAAGAGAGAGAGAGTAAAAGATTCAATTTTGGGTTTCTGAAAGGTCAAAAGTTGGTGATGGGGGTAAGGTGGAAAGCTATTTACATCAGATGGGTTATTATGAAAACCACCCACTTGCATGGGCGTGGGATTTTTATATTTTAAAAGTTTGGGAGGTATATTATATTATTATATGTATATAAATGTTATATAAATTATAAATTATTAGATTTTTTTTTTCTTAGGCAAGCATATTAGATATGTACATAAAACATTCACATATGTATGTTCTTTTATAAGAAATAACATATTATTCAATAATTATTTACATCTGATATAGTAAATTTAATCCCTTGTTATTGGTTCGGCTCAACAGCTCACATTGCTTAATCCCTTGCTTAAATGAGTGTAAAATATTGTACTAATTCATTATATATAAATGATTATGGTGTGTTTAAACTTCTTCCATTAATTACTACATATTTTCTACACTCACAATGTTTGCCAGCTCGCTATATAATCAACTTAAATCAGTTAAATCCATCATGCAATGCATTTCCTTCCAATTTTTTATGATAAACTAATAGATAATTGACTAAATAAACATCCTGCAAAGTTTCAATAAAAATTTCCAATTTTTTCTTACAATTTCCGTGGTTTCCATGTAATTTTTATCGATATCGATATTATCCCGATATTTCCATCGATATTTCCGTATTTTCGGACTACCGATATTTTCGATATTACCGATATTTTCTTCCTTGGATACAGCTACTACCCACTTGCAAATTTAAAGTACTCATTGGGGTTTGGTGCATGCATAATTTTGTAGCCCTTTTGACGTACGGATTATTTAATATTATGCAGAGTTAAAACTCAACTTGTCAAGAAAAAGAAATAAAACATAAAAAAAGAGGATATTAGAACAAATTATGCGAAACTTCTATATGCACGGTTGCATTGAAATGTTGAATTTTGACAGTCTTAACCTAGTCGTTTAACGATCGCTTCTTTTAGTGTAGCTTAGAGTATTAATAATATTAAATAATTAAAGTAATTTAAAACTATTCATAACCGATAAATCCTATACATCAAAACCCAAATTATAAATTATGAACGAATTCATGACTCCACCCATATAAAAACGCCATGAAGGTGGTTCCTTACACCCTAATAATTATAAGCAGATTTAATCACACATTACTGACTTTACCTACAAAAAACAATGCAATTTATTGACCAGACAGAGAAAGAAAAAAAGGGTTAGTAAGATCACATTTTTTTTTTATTATTAAACGTGGAAAGTAATGTTCACACGTCACGTCAATTATTGAATTTATTTTGAAGTTCTACAATATATCGTGGGAGGTCTACGTCTTCTAGTTTGGGACTTGGTAAATTTGAACTTAAATGTTACTGTTTACTGTTTAATTAATCCCTAGCTAGCCTAATTTCTCAAACGTTCTTTTTCCTTCTTTTTTTTTTTTTTGGTAATAATTAGTTGGTTTTGTTGGAATTTTAGTTGGGTATTTCAAAATACTACTCCATTTGACATCTATATCTAAATTATTACCTATCAATAGAATTTTCTTTGTCAACCAAAAAAGGATAAAAAGATTATTTAGTCTTCCATCACACAAAAAGATGATGGAAAATATTGTAATTTCACATATTCAAATTTAATTGTTTTTTTATTAAAACCTCACATACAGGTTATGTTAAGATATATCTAATATATTAAAAAAAAAGAAAAAAACAAAACAAAACCTCCCACTCCCAGTCTACCCAAGGGCAGTCATTGAGTGAACTGTAATCTTCTTTGTGTTAGTTGACCTAAGCCGCACCATTACTACTGGGGTAGGGCTCGGCCTCCGAACCGTATGTGGGATGAGTTTCTACCTCATACAGCTCAGGTCGAAGACCGGGGGGAGTTTAGGAGAGATGGAAAGACCCAACCCAGCAGCTACTGAGCATGGCAGGGATAAGCTTGCTTCTTCACAAGCTTATCCCCCAAAAAAACAACCGATCCTATAGTGCCAGTGCTTCGCGTTCTTTGATCTCACCCACGTTCTTTCTCTCCCCCTCTCTCATTCCCATTTTAAAAACAAATACAAAAATTATTCATAAACACAAGTATTGCGAGTGTTATTCTAAGGTTTATTTCTTTCATACCAAAAGAAAGAATCAAGCTGCTTATAGATCCAAGTATTGGGAGTGTACGTTTACAGGAATCAAAGGTTGTTGTAACCTAGAAGGTAGGGCGGTATAACCTGCTACACCGAGACATTGTCTTAGAGGGGCGAAATCTACTCTTTTGGACAATGAACTTACACGCCTCAACCTAAAATCTTGTTCTAATCAAGCATCGACGAAGAGTGAGTTCTACCCTATAAAAATAAGTATTTTATTATATTTGTTTATTTTAGCTAATTAATTGTGGCAACGTAAATTACTATGTACTAATATTTATCTTATGTGATTTGTTGTAGAAAAAGTAGCTTACATATCACCAATATTTTCAACAGGTTTTTCATTCTTTACAGTTTATAGAGTGTGATGACAATACCTTATATCCACGTTACATTTGCCATAAACTCGATATATTTGCCACAAATGGGGAAAGCAAGTTGGGATAATGGTGATTTGTCTAAATACAAATCTGACAATTATTATTATTTGATGGAATAAAGTTTAGTAAATATAATGAATTACCTCAATAGTTTTAGGTTGTTTGGATTGCTAGCACATGGAGAAGGTTGGCATAATAATCACCATGCTTTTGAGTACTCAGCTCGACAAGGGTTTGAATGGTGGCAAGTTGATCTTACTTGGTATGTAATAAGATTTCTTCAAGCTGTTGGTTTGGCAACTGATGTTAAACTCCCAACCGAGACTCAAAAGAAACGAAAGACTTTGTACAACAAAATAAGCAAGAAATATGCTTAAACTATCAAATTTAAAGCTCATCATGCAGTGGCGGATTTAGAATTCCAATCTCAGAGATCCTAGTTTATTATAAAAGATTTAAGATTTTTGTAGATGGAATAAAGAGCAATGCTCAAGGTTTTTTTAATTTTTTAAATGAAGCGTTTTGTTGAGTATTTGGTGGGTATGTGGGTGGCCTTGTCTTGTTTATTTCTTCTGAAAATAAAAACCTTGCTAAAATATTCAGTGTCCATTTTTGTTGAGAACTAGTAAAAGGTCTTTTTTTCCTGGGTATTAGTAATTTGAAAGGTTTTATTTCTTATAAGATACTAGTAATTATGTGGTGAAGAAATAGTAGTAATTTGAAAGATTAAAAATAATATTTGTATAGAACACAAAGAGTTATATTTTTTTTACGAACGATAATGTTAGTGGGTTAAATTATTAGTTGTTCAGAAAGAGAGGGATCAATGAAGATCGAACGTACATGCATCATGGTGCATATATATGATTGCTTTATGGTATTGTGGTTAAACGTCATCAGCATAACATAAAGAATTATTTTAGCATTGAATACATTTGCATGTTTACTATATAATGTTTATTAGTTTCTAAGTAAAAGTACTTATATATAATGTGGTTAAGTGAGTCATCATGTTTGGCGTTGGTTAGGATAGAAGATGGTAGTCCAGACTCCAAAGTAGTAAAAAAGGGTAAAACGACAACGTTTGGGTACAACAAGACGAGCAGGGGGTAGAAAACCCATCTTAATTTCGATTTGACCCTGCCGTATCTACAACTACAAAATTTTAGACCAGGCGAATCGAATCCAGGTAACGGTGGTTCTTATACCTACTAATTATATTTTTCACAATAATTTAGCAATTCCAGTTCTCCATATAGCTCCGACGTCTAAGGTTAAGGGTGGTCCTCCTCGGTGGTTCACAACCGTTTCTTTTGATTTTCGGAGGGTTCCAAGATCATCTGGGTTCCTATATAGATTTGTTCCTACCAATATGGTTTACCACCAACATCACCAATGTTATTCCAACGTATCTATCATCTATTACTAGGTATTGAGTTTTATCATAAAAAGTTTCGGTTATATTAGAAATGAAAACTCCTATTTATTAATAATATATTATTTTGTCTATGCCCGATTCCATTCTCCAACATAAAGTATTGTAGTAAACAATGGAACCCTTAAGAGCAACTCCACCCATGGAGCCCTCCCCCTGGCAATCCACTATTGAATCCACCCTTTTGAATCGTAACTGCCTTTAATGAATAGTAACTGCCATTAATGAACAATAATTGTCATTTGCATCTCCACCCTTGGAGCCCTCCTCCCTGACAATAAGCAATAAAATATTAGTTTTTTTTTGTTTGTTTAAATAATACAAAATAAAATTATTTGTAATTTCGGATAAGATTTTTTAAATCGTTCTCGTTGCGCCACGTGTCATTTTAAAAAAAAAACAATTATTTAGTGATGGATTTCGATAAGATTTTTATCTAATGTCATCGTGCCACGTGTCGTTATCTTTTGAGAATCTTTGACGATAGATTTCAATCAGATTTTAACTCGTTCAAAATTGCGCCACGTGTCATTATCCAAAAAGATAATTATTGGAGATCGATTTCGATAAGATTTTTATCCAATACGATCCTGCATCAGTAGTCATTTTGTGGAAAAAAATTGGATTGAAACTTTGAGAGAAAGATAGGAATTTGATTGAAAGTGGTTGAGAAAATATGAAATTGTGGTGTAAGGTAGATGGAGAAGAAGTGGTATTTATAGAAAAGTAAAAACAATTTTTTACAAATTTTTTTTCAGATTTTTTACAATTTTTTCAGATTTTTTGCATTTTTTTAAAAAAAAATTTCAAATAATTAATCTCTGCCGTGGGATTTAAAAAAAATTGAATTCCAACACTCCAGATTGTGCCACGTGTCACAACGGTAACTTTTCTTAATTTTAAAACTATTTTTTCTTTATTTATAAAGCATATTAATATCGACCGTTGATCTCATATCGAACGGTTGATATTAAATAAGATTTGTTTTATTTTTTTACCGTTGAGATCCAACGGTCCAAATGAAGGAGCCGTTGAGATCGAACGGACCGTGGGAAGCCACGTGGCTTCCCAACGGTAACTAAGACACTGCAAAAGGCGCCTAATTTTTCTGAAAAGGTGTCGGGCGACGCGCCCCCACCCGCGAGTGGGGTGCACGGGCTTGACAGAAAAAAATAAAAAATGGGTGAAGAGCTCGGGCTCACGGGCTGTCACAAATTGACAGGCCTTCGGCTCGGGCCTTTTCCACGAGCTCGGGCCCTTCATGGCTGGAGCTGATTGACAGGCCCTCGGGCCCTTTCTTCTCCCCTGTCCCCTGGCCTACATGCAAGGCTGGAATTGCTCTAAACATTTTTACTAGTGTGCTTTCTACAGGATACGACTGTAGTTTCTTTATGCCTTCACTTAAGAAACAAAATTGGACCAATTAATTGTTGTTTGGATGGGGCACTACAAAAAACGTATATTCTGTTATAAATTGACGTATGTATTTATGTGTTTCTTAATATCAACGCTAATGGAATTTGACTTGGGCTACAGACTGGTTTGGTAATAGGATTAGATTGGAATAGATAACTTTCTAATTCCAAAGTATACATGTTGAGGTGAGAAATAAAAAAATTATGATCAACTAGAGGGTAGAATACAAATTAATACTCATGAAAAAAACATATTTTTTTTACAATCCTCTCCAAAATGGTAGGATTACAAGGGGTGCGTATTTTTCATGTCTTACCTCTTCTACTCGTCTCCAAATGAAACCCCATTCACTTGTACTTCCAATATGCCATAAAATTAGGAAGTTATTCCTTCCAATCCAATCCTACCAAACAAGTCCTACCTTTTGGTTTCCTTTCCAAATCTAATATTCATCCAATACCAATTAATCACAACGTATATCTTGCGAGATCGGGAAATGGTTTCCATTCCAACTCATGATTCTAAGCAAACAAATCGGGCCATAAATAATTTCCGTTTTAACTATGTTTTGGGTGTGTGTTGGGTGAGGAGCCAAAAGCTAGAAAAAAATACTTCTTTACTACAGATCGACCCCGATCGAGCAGGTCCTCAACTAAGAAAGGCCCCCAATTTCTCATCAAAAGAAGTAACAACTCATAGTTAAAATTAATGGATCAAATATATATATGCACGCTCCTCGAAAGGGAAAGGAAAAGCAAAAGCGGTTGCATAAATTCTTGAAACTTTGAAATCAAGGGACATGAACAAATTCACGTAATACCACATGCAACTAATCAGTCGGCAGAGATCAATTCAAAATACCTGGCTATTAATAAGATGATAAAGAAATTAAAGACAAGAGAATCTTTCGGTGCTCTGATTACTTATTCAATGTTTTGGCGGAGGACACCAATGTTTCTATTCGAATTTAATCTGTAAAATCCTATCTTTTGAAAAAAAAAATAAATAAAAAGTGAAACGCAATATTCAAGGTTACGTATATGACAAAGTCAAGTGGCTCTATAAATGCATGCACATCAGAGAGGCACTCTGCAGCTAACAGATCCAATTGCTACGTACTTTCATGCCCCCACAGTTCACTGGGATACGAATGGAGAAGACCATACCCACGTGAAATAATAAATTGTTATTATATTTATTTAATTATTTTTATTTAATGATATTTTACTCGATGACTCAATCACTAATTAGAAATCAAACTCAACATAAACATAAACATATTTGTCTACATAATTTGTGGAAGTCGAACTTATGACATTTCACTTGCATTGGATATACATATTGATGAATCAATTAATTTATAAATCAATTCATGATTCATTGTTATCTTTAATCGTTCAACTCAAGTTTTTAAAGTTTGCTAACAAAAATAAATGAGTTGATTAATCAACAGTTAATTCAAAAATCAAGAACTGACACGACGTATCTCTTCCTTAGAGTATCTTTCTCCATGGAGGAGATACAAATCTGAGTTGTAAAAACAACATTTATATCTCAGTTTGCATCTTCTGAAGATGTGAATGTAAATTTTGTACCTCATTTGTTTTCCTCTCTGTAACTCACCGGCCCACTTTCTAAAGATAAAAAGTTGGCTTTATAGCTAAAATAATAGTCCCTAAAATCGACATAACTCCTCAGTTTGGTCATTAACAATGAAAATCAATAGTAGTAGTCCCTGAGTTTGACCACCGCATATCAATTTGGTCATTCTATTTAAATTTTATTAATTATTCTGACAGTTTGGGTGATGTGGCACTTTGTGGGTCCTACAAATTCAATCATGTAGTGACATGTGGATTATTGTTAAAAAAAACTGGTTTTTATATTAAAATAAAACTGATAAAGTTAAAACAAATTAAAATTTTAAATAAAAGAAAATGTCGTCGTATTCATCTGGGTGTAATGAAGACTAAGATTATCTATTAGGCATGATGAAACCCTAATAGATAATCGAGTTTTTTTTTTAATTTTTTTTTTAAATCTATTTATTGATTCTAGTATGCCCATTTCATTTAAGACGCGAAGTTTGTATCATTTTTTTCTCTACAATTATTGATAAGAAATAAAAAAATCAAGTTTAATGCAAATTAATCACCTTGGCTGACTGTTTTTACAGATGTTGGATTTCTTAATCATTGTTGATTAGTTGTATTGATGTGCTTGCCTAACATCTAGGTTCTTAGTTTAGTTATTTGATACAAAATTAGAGTAAATACTATATTCATTTGAGGATTGCTTCTTGTGGTTAAGAGTTGTAATTTTCTAGGTAAATAATATAGTCCTAGAGTTTACATGATTATCAAATGTTTTCACAAAGCTTATAAGGTTTTCGTATTTGTAATAATTATCATAGAAAAGTTGCATGTAGGACATACGGGAAAGCCTAAATACCATAGTATATGCATACATATATATATATTCATAAGCTAGGCGTAATGAAAACAACTCCAGATCAATATAATTTAGATACATAATATTAATTAGTCGAGGAAAGTACAGTGAAAGTAAAGCGTTATTAACAAGCATATATATATAGGCTGCATATATATCTTTTCTTTCGAGGATCATATAGGGCTGCATATTAAATAGCTGGATAGAGATTCAAGCTTCCATGATTTTGTTGATCAAATCTTTCCGTTGTTGATTTCTGTTTCAAGCTTTTCCTCGAGCTCGCTGATTTGATTGTTCAGGTTGTTGCTTATAAATAAAGCTTTTCGTTTCTTCTGAGTCTCAGTGGGAAGCTTTACTTCTGTTGCCAAACCGATGATTTCAAGAAATCTTATTACATACCACGTAACATCAATTTCCCACCATTCCAAGCCATGCCGAGCCGAGTATTCAAATGCATGGTGATTATTGTGCCAACCTTCTCCATGAGCCATCAATCCAATTAACCTACGCGTACGTACACAAATCAAAATTCAGTACATTTTTACTATTACCTATACGTCTTGGAGAAGATTTTCCATCACAAATATATGGCTATACTATACCAGTTGTTTCTAGACAGATCACCAGTATTCCATACTGATCTCACACCCTACCATAAAAAAGAAAAACACAGCTCAAGAAATTATATGTATGGCCATCAATTGAATTTGTTCTTTAAGCTAAAAAATAAAGAACAATGTCAATATTTAATTACCAGCCCCCAAACCAAAAATGGTAGTCCTCCAACAGCATAGAGTAGCACTCCAAAACTAATTGCATGAAGGGGGTACGTATAATGAAGAAATCTATAGAATGGATCCCTTTTCAAGTCTCCAACGTTCTTGAGTCGTGCATCATACTGCGAAATTTCAAAGTTAAAAAAAATTATCATTGGTATGTCAATTTGCTTAGCTCTGTGCATAAAAGAATCTTTTCCTTACAAACTGCTAATATACAATTACGTGTTTATCTCTCATTATCTGACATGTGAAGAGCAAGGGTGGAGCTAGGAAATCTTTACTGGTGGGCTAGCAAAAAAATATCACCATAAAATGATGCGATCAAATTTTTTTTTGTCTACATAAAGTTGCATTATAGTCAACCTAAAAATAAATTTTTTTAGTTGAAACTTTTTATTTGGACGAAAGTTGTAATGATGTTCAAGTTAACAGTTGCTCTAGTGTGACGAGTTTAGGGACTATTATTCACATATTTGGTTTAGATACCAAAACTCCACTTGAATCAAAATCTAAATACTAGTACTCTAATTTTTTTTCCAAAGTAAAATGTATAAAAACGCAATAAAAAGAAAATAGATATATCAAGTTGGTTAAAATATTAATGATTTATTACTTACGAACGATGCACGACATACATATGATAATAATGCTATATATTGGTGACAATAGGCTGCAGTAGCCTAATTATATGCTAATAACCTAATACAGTAGGAATTTGCAACAAAACCTACCTAGGCTACAATGCCCCTTAGTCGTGGGTGTAGCTCTGCCGGTAATTAAGAGATGTGAGCGATATACACAAAGTCATATACTACTGATTGCATATAAGAATTACGTATGAGGAAGCTAAAGAGTTTCATACACTTCCAAACCGAGACCGAAAATCGAAGATCCAACCAATGTGACTATACCAAAATCCTCTAACGGGACTATGAGGATCTTTCAATGTATCAGTAAATTGGTGGTGAGATCGGTGTATGCTCACCCATTCAAGTGGACTTCTCTGCAAACAGAAAAAAATAATGAGCCTAACAAAATCTCTCCCTATAAAATTACAAAAGAAAATGTTGGGAAGACCATGTTCTTAAATCATATTTTGTAGACTACATCATGTAGCGGTTAATAGGGTAATTTCTTTAATGATTTAAAGAAAGAATTCATTATCAATCGACACAACATGTAATGTACAGAATATGATTCACGTAGATCTCTCTAGCATCACCAAAACATTACAGAAGATAAACAGAAGTGATATACCTGAAATGATAGAACCCCACAATAGGCAAAAAAGTATTCAAGCCATTTGGGAAGCTTGAAACTCCGGTGGGAAAGTTGCCTATGGTAAGAGAGATTTACACTCACACCTACAACAAAATATAGTGCAACTGCCACCCAAAATGCAGGCCAGTTGAAATGAAATGGAGCTAAAAGAGTAAGGCAGTGCAAACTAAACACGACAACCACTGAGCCTATATCCACAAAGTTCCATTCCCTCCCCAAAAATTCTACCCTCCACTGCGTTATCCACTCTCCCATTTGGCTTGCCACAAAACCCGAATTCTCTTCTGCTTGCTATTGCTTCTTCTGTATCAGTAGCTACTTTTGATAGTGCATGGAGCAGAATGAAAGTGCTGCCTATTATATAGACTCAAGGGTACCCATACTGGTAAAAGTGGCTCATCAATGCTTCAAATCTATCTGTTCATTAAGGGTGCGTTTGGTACGTGGGACGGGACGGGACGGAACGGGACGAGGCGTTCCGTCCCGCGTTTGGTGCGCCAAAAATGGGTGGAACGGGCTGTTCCACGGGACAGATTTTGAGTGTTTTTGCGTTCCACCTCCCCCCCTGGAACGGGTTTGTTCCACGTTTGTGGAACGCAATGTTTTACCATTTTAAGACAAATATACCCCATGTCTTTTTCAAAAATTACACCTTCGTTCCGTCCCGTCCCGTCCCGTTCCGTCCCGTCCCGTCCCGTTCCGTTCCGTTCCGTCTGCGTACCAAACGCACCCTTAATGAACAGATAGATTTGAAGCATTAATGAACAGGAAAAGTCTTTAATTTTTTTTTCTTTACAAACAGCATTAATATTCTAAGTAGGGATGAAGCTAGAAAGTTAGTTCACATATGCACAACTAAGCAGTGACAGATGAAGGTCTTTGTGTAATCCTTAGCATGCAACGCCAATTTTTTTTTTAAATTTCTTAAGTGAGGTATTTCATCAAGCACTTGACGAACTCCTACGCATTGTATGCTTATCAAACCCACCCTTTGTTCCATTTTAAATTGTATCTTTAGGCCAATATCATTATAATGAACAAATAGATAAAACATATATGTATAGGGCTAGGAGCTCAAATTTATAAGATGTATGGGAGGAGAGAGGGTCGTTAATTGGCCTTTTAAAATGACTAACTTTAAACTCTTTTTCAAAACGGCGTCATTGTCCTAAAACATATGGACTTTTCCATTTCTTCTTCTCGTTCTTCTTCGTGAGCTACAAGAACCAACTTTGCAACTAAATTTTTTGTGTGTATATCCATCTCCTAGTGGTTTTGAATGAGGAATGACCGATAGAGTTGGTGGTGGTGGTGAGTTGATTATTATTTGTCATAGTCCAACTTAACGTCATATCGGAATGCATCTGCGACTTAAGCAAGACCCTAATTTCTGCTCAACCAACATTTTTTCCCAGCCCAAAAACTTGAGGGGGACGCGTTCCCCCTCTGGCCCTTAAGTAGTTTCGCTCCTGATTCTAAGCTATACTAAGATGAGGAGAAATTTTTTTATTTTGAAACTTAGTGTTTATGGGTTGAAAAGGAAAATCCTATTCTAAGTGACAATTAGCTAGTTATATAGATATATATATATATATATATATATATATATATATATATATATATATATGTATGTATGTATGTATATATATATATATATTTTTTTTCTAACAGTAGTAACAATATTCGGAATAATGAGATTACGAATTCATCCTCAACTCAAATCAAAGATTGAAATGAACACCAAGTTGCTACCAAGTTGGAGCATCTTACTCAAATCATATATCTGGCCAACTTGTGAAGAAGATTGAAATAAATATTTTGAAAAGAAATGTCGGGGGGGGTGTGGAAACATCCCCATTAGTCCTTTATTAATAACTACTGGTGTTTTTCCTCTTGGTTTCATTTATGTTCTTTTATCTTTTCAGTAAAACTAGGGCTAGAAACAAAGTCCCGAAAATCCCAAACCGTATTTAAAAAAATCCCGAACTGAAAATTCCCAAAGTTTCCGTACCACATCCCGAACCATTCGGTACGGGAGTCTCACCATTTCAAGAATTCAGTAATCCCGAACCGAACCGAAACCTTATAAATGGTTAGGATCAATTTAGACCATTGGATTAGTTAGATTTGATCGCATTCGTCCATTGTTAGATAGGGTTCTCAGTGACTTCTCAGACTCTCTCATTTCTCGAACCATTCAGGACCGCACGCCATCCCTGAGCTCTCTCTCTCTCGAACCTTCTCAACTCCTTGATCTCTCCTCTCATCTCATTCGAACACTCTTCTTCACCGCCAAAAGGGTTGATCTCTCCTTGGAAAATTGAAAGATTGAACTGGATAATTGAAAGGTGGATTTGGAAGATTGACCTAATTGAATTTACCCTGTTACATCTTTTTTTTTTTTCCTTCTATTTTTGCATTATTTTCTTGTTTTATGAACAAAATGATCTTTCTCTGGGTTCATTTTCTTTTTCCTTTTTATTGACAGGATTATGTTCCACCTGTTTTTGACAACTTCAGTGTCGATGTTTTGGTTGATGGGCAAACTGTAAATTTGGGTCTGTAGGATACTGCTTTTACTTTCTCCCTCTCTCACGTATATTTTTCATGCTAAATGAGAATTTTGAACTTTGGTTGCTTGCATGTACATCAATCCCGAATCGGCCTGAAATCCGAAAAAATTTTGGGCATCTCGAAATTTAGGAATCCCTAAATTTTGGTTCGGTTTCGGATTTTAGAATCCCGTTCCAAAAATTATTGGTTTGGGATTTGAGTTTTAGGTTTCGGATAGGGATTCTGGCCCGAATCAGGAGAGATTTTTCAATGTAATCGATACACGGGTTAGTACATCACATGTCACTAAACGAATTGTGGGATATGTGTGCTAAAAAATTAATAACTTAAAAATAAAACTTTTCACAATTGCTATTAAAACACGTGATGTACTACTTGTGTTTCCGTCACAACTAAAAATTTCTCCCGAACCAGCCCTAGGTATTACGGTGACTTCATCATATTTGGGCGATCACAATATGAAACTGGAATTTGTAAACCATAACAGCCGCTTGTTGGCCGATTTTTAGAGAGGCTTCAAGTTCTTGTCTCCCTTCATAACGTGGGACGGTTATTTCTTGGTAGGGCCTTTCTCTATCACTTGCGTTAGCTTGGGCCTTTGTTTCGTCAGGGGTTTGTGGTTGAATTTAGGTTTCTCTAGCCCAAATTAAAAACCAACACAAACAGCAAACATGTGGCTCCGCGCATATTATGCTAAAAGTGATTAGGACTCCCCACCCTGAACCATTAACATTGCTGTCCTTACCTACAAAATGACAACAATTATAGGACGTTACATTATTTTGGACAAAAAAATGGGATATTATTAATTTTTCCAGAAAAGGGGGTTTTATTTGACTACAACTTGGTAACTAAATCACTTCCATGAATATGACCGACTAAAATATATATTTCAAACATTCTCTGAAACTCAAATTCCTTATACTGACCCTTTATCCCTCAAATTTAAGGTTTTTTGTTGCAAACTAACCCCCAATTCGATTCCCACCCAACTCCCAAAGGATATGTTCTCAAGAGTAGCAGAGTTTGATTGGTAGAACCAAACCGTGCATCAATTGTAAACCCAGATATCATGCTGTATGTTTGATTTTTCTTCGGATTTTGCGAGTCTTGATTGTGTGGCTAGTTTGTCAACCGGTGTTTGCCTTCTTTTCTATCTATATTAGGTTAAAGAATCTAACTTATATTAAGTGGTTTAACTTAAAACTGCACTATGATTTTTTTTTTTTTTAGAAGATTCTGCTAAGTAAGCTAGAAGGTGGTTAATTTGATGACAATATTCGTGTTAGACCATTAATAGTAGGCTATTGGGCAACCTCCTGAAATCCTGACATACACAACATCGACAACACAGTTACTCGATCGAGAGTGAAGTGGAACGGGGAAGGATGTGCCACCATATTTCTACTGTGAATAGTTATTATTTTAGTTGTTTTAGTAAAAAAATAATTATACTGTAGTTGTTTTAGTAAAAAAACAATTATACTTTAGTTGTTTTAGTAAAAAAATAAATATATTATAAAGAAAAATATTAGAGAGACTACAGTTTAATACTATATTTGTATTCTATATGATGTGAACATATGTGTATATGTTATGTTAATTAAAAAATTTATCTCAATGAATGTCGGTTATATGCATTATTTAACATAACTTATAGTATAACAATGCTGTCATTACTCATATAAAATATAAAATAAAAGAGCAGGTGTGAAACTATCCCTTTCCCATGTTCAGGTTTTTTTTTTTTTTTTAAATAATTAATCAAGTAGGGTTTCTTTGTGTTGTTTAGGGCGTGAGGACAATACTTTTTCTCCATGCTAATAAATTCGGTTTGCCATACCTGGGGCCAAGTTGTATGGGAGAGTGGTGATTTGTCTAAAAATAACTGGTATTTTAGCTTCTACACGTGCAATCCAACCTACAGCGTATTTGATGTTTTTCATTTGCATGAATAATAGTTTGGCTATGAATTTAACTGCTTAATTGTTTAATTAGGATCATAGGATTGCTGGCACAATAATCACCATGCATTTGAGTTCTCAGCTCGGCATGGATTTGAATGGTGGCAAATTGATGTTACTTGGTACGTACGTGATCCGATTTCTTCAAGCTGTTGGTTTGGCTACAGATCGAAGTAAAACTTCCTACCGAGACTCAAAAGAAAAGAAGAGCTTTATCCAATAAAATCAATGAGGAAAGCTTGAAGGAAAATTAGAAAATGAAATGATCGATATAATATATATACTTCTGGTTTAAATGTGCTTTCGACAATAATTAGTGCAAAAATTACTGGAAAATAGGTATCTGTGAGAATAAATTCAAATGCGAAGATAATGTCATATTATATATATCTCGAATCTCGATCAATGTTATGATTGTATGGATAAATGAAGAAGTGTATTTTAGTAAAAAAAAAAATGTACGAAATTTTATACATATATATTTACGTAGTTCTGCTTGTTAGTTATATTCCATTTTTTCCGTTAAAATTGTATTTGAAGAGCATACAGAAACCAATTTTCAAGAAAGGGTCTTTTGATATGGGTCCAAAGTAACTAAAAATTGGACCTATTTCAAAAGTCAAAAGTCACTAAAAATTAGACCTATTTCAAAAATAGACTTATAAAATTAGACCTATTTCAAATTTTCCCTTTCAAGAATATATGAATTCCACATTGATCGTTGTTGGAAAATTCGTTTATTATTATTTTAGTTTTCCTGTTGGTCTAGCATTTGGTTTTTTGCCTTTTAAATATTAGGGTGTGCTTTAGTTTTCTCCATAAATAAATGCTTTGTAACTCGGAAAACAATAAATTAGTCACAATGTAGTCTTACAGACAGGTTATGTAGCCATCTCAATGAATTTGTAGTGTTCTCCTTAGTTTCAATTAATAAAGTTTTATTCATAATTTTACATTTGGTTTGCTTATGGTGTAATCTGATATTCAACTGATCGAATAATTAACAAAAACAATTATAATATATAGCTAGAAAATAATTTCACTCATAATATCACCGCATGCCTCAAATTCCCACGGTATCGTGATGTACAGGTTGTAAAACGCAAGTTGCTGGATATTGTGATTATAAATGAATCACTGATATGTCTCTTCTGCAAATCTAATGCAGATTCTGAATTAAATTCTGTACTTATATTGATAAGGCTTTTTTACCCAGGTAGCCCACTGCATCATTAATTCCTTAGTTGCCCCATTTCTTGATAATTCTTCGATCTTCCAAATGAAAGTTCTAGGATGGTACTAGTTTAACCTAAAGGGGGTTGAATAGGTTCCAATTTAAAAGTCCAATTCAAATTTCAATTTAATTTTCAGTTCTCAAATTAATCCACATTCACATCACATATAAACTATCCTACACATATGCAATTATAAAGATAAATAAAATGTGCACACGGGATGTAGGATTTTACGAGGCAAAACCCACCACTGGAAAATTCCTCGGGCTACCAAGCCAGGAAGCACTATGAAAGAAAGAATACATAAAGACTTACAAAACTCATCAACTAGACACTCATACCAGTTGGCAGCTTTGTCTCCGCGCTTTGCTACTCGATCTTTCTTCAGTCTTCGAGTTGAAGTGGCACGACACTAACGCAGCCGTCAATCACCTTTCCCTCGAACTTTGCAGGATGCTAACTCGATCATGCAGAATGTTTATATGATGAAGTGTTTGTTTGAAAAACAATCAATTACGAAAATCACAAAGCTCATTTCCATAATTGATATTCAATTTAAAAAACCAAATGAAAATCAGCATGAAAATAATATTTTCTCTTTAAAAACACATGCTATTGAAACCACAAGACAGCAGCAATATCAAAAATATTTTTTTTCTTATTCCCAAAAACGCCAAGCTGCTGCTATCTTTTGTTTGTCAAAGAACGCCCAAATATATGCATGTGTGGCTGCCTTTTAAACAAAACAAAACCCTAACCTCCTGTATACCTCACGGCACCTCACCAATTAAATTGATAAGGATGGCAAACCATTTAGATAACTCCCATGCAATCAGATTATTTTGAAATCATGTTTTAATAATTAATGTAGAAAGGATAAGTCATTCTAAAGAGATAAAACCCACAAAGGGTAACAGTCCTATCCCAAATACAATAATATATGGATATAGATGAATGTAGTTGGATGCATGCATGCAAACGTACCTGGATGAGTATCGCGTTTCAGTAACATCTTCGCATTGAAAGTGTGAGAAACCTCCCTAGACTGAAACTATTACAATTGTAAATATGTAACAAGTCTAAGCTATTACAGACTCAGACATTTTGTCAGGGATTGCCAATTTTACCCTAACACCAAAATTTTCCAAATAATTGCTTAACCGTCTGCAACGAGACAAATGATATACACAACATGCATGAAAGTCACCAAATTAATGGCTCCACATACTAGTATACTACATAAGTAGGAGTTACCACTGAGGAAATCTTTGATTGCTTAAGGCGTGAAGTAATCTTCATTTGAAATATAAAAAAATTTAGCTTTAAAGACAACACATATTTTGTCAAATTTGGCCTTTGGGGTTTAGTTTCCTTTTGCAGGTAGTCGAGAGTAATGTTATTAATTGTGAGTATGAAAAGCTCTATCAGCCAGTAATTTTTTGGCTAACTGTCGCATTGTTACGTGTTATATATCAATATACATTTTTTTCTAAAAAGAAACCAACTGGTAACTTCGCTTTTTCGAGAGTCGAAAAGAATCACAAAGGCATTTCAGCCTCTCACTGATAGGGATGGGCAAAATACCCATGGGTATGGGTAACCGCGGTTACCCGCCCATTTAAAGTTGACGGTTATGGTTATGGATAACCACTTAGACAAATAAATGGTTATGGATAACCATTTAGACAAATAAATGGTTATGGGTATACCATTTATCCATGAAATTTAAATGGGCGGTTATGGGTATTATCCGCGGTTATAACGGATATCCATCGATTATGGATAATATTCACGGTTATAACAGGTATCCATTTACCCATTTAATTTAATATATGTAAAATTAAAAAAAAAAATTAAAAACCCTCAGAGAATAAGTTACACTCTCTCTTCGTCCCTCTCTCTCTCCGCCTCTCTCTCTCTCCGCCTCTCTACTTCGTCACTCTCTCTCTCTCGCTCTCTCTCTCCGTCGCTCTCCGTCTCTCTCCGTCGCTCTCTCTCTCCATCGCTCTCTATCTCTGTCACTCTCTCTCTCTGTCGCTCTCTCTCTCCGTCGCTCTCTCTCTGCGCCTCTCGACTTCGACTCGACCACACATCAGGTAAATTTGAAATTAATTTAGGGTTTGAGGTGATGGTTGATTCGACTTAATTCAATTTCGTGTACCGCTTAACATGTTTCTTCTTAAAATTTCGTGTACCGCTTAACATGTTTCGTGGATTCAGCTTCCAGGGTTCCATTTTGTATCTGCGAATTTTTTGGGGGTTTTAAGGTTTTTTTTAATTAATGAAGTGAAATTATAGAAAAATTTGAGCTTATGATGCAATGAAGTACAAAATCTTAACTGTAGACCAAAATTTGAAATTTATGTGACTATCTGTTTGTTTTGATAGGTATGTTTTGTTGATTAGAATGGAGAATAATTGATGAAAAATTAGGAAATAGTAGTCTCGTTGAGTGAAATTTAGCGCGAAATAGTAGTCTGGAGCTCCGTCGCCTCCGATCAGGAGATCGTCGCCAAAGCCTTCAAAGTTCCTTGGAATCTGAAAGAGGTGATCGGAAAGCCGGCGTCTTCAAGCTTCTGGAGGGACAATTCGATCGGAAAATTCGCCATCTCGCACCGAATTGTCCGCGGGGACACCGTCGCCAGCCTCGCCGTCAAGTATTCCGTATAAATAAAGACCAAGTGAATGAGCTGCAACATCACTCGCGCTGCTGGAGCAAGTGAATGAGCTGCAACATAGAAGTGATTTTATTAACTCTCGCGCTGCTAGTCACCACTTTTTTTTGGGTCAATTACAGAGAAGTGCTTTTATTAAAGAACAAAAGTCGATTGATCAGAAACTCAAAAAATAAAGAACAAAAGTCGAAATTTTTATTGAAAATGCTTCTTGGAAAAGCAGTTGGAAGTGCTTTTCATTTTTGATTAACTATCGTTAAAAAAATAATGTACACGGGAGAAAAAAACGGGTAAATGGGTAAAAAAAGGATAAACGGGCGAAAAAATGGGTAAACGGGTAAATGGTTATGATTATGGTTAAATGGGTAAATGGTTATGGGTAAATAGGTACACGGTTATAGGTATGGATAACCGTTTATAAACGGTTATGATTATGGGTATAACAATTTATGTAATTACCCAACGGGTAAACGGTTATGTGGGTATGAACATAAACGGTTATGGGTAAAATAACCGCGGTTACCCGCCCGCATAACCATTGCCCATCCCTACTCACTGATCACCATCGTGCGATCCATCAGCACCAAAAATCAAACACAAGACATGCAGTGTGGAATACATGTCTTGAATATTCATTCACAACTACTGGGTTGCTCCATGATGATTCAATATACTCATGTTTTAACCATGCTAAAGATGACTGTAAACCATGTTAAAGCATTTGATAATCCCACATAATGACAGCATGTGGTTAAGATTTTTGCAAATGACAGAAAATTATATACTAAATTATCTAAAATATGGAGGAGATAGAGATATAAATGTGGATGTATAAGGAGGAGCACACTACTCTAGCCAACTTGACTAAACTCATATTTGCACGGATAATTAAGTTATCAGTGTTAATTAATAGCGATGAACCACTTGACAGACTCTGAAACGAGACTAAATTCCTCTTATATTAAATTAAACCACAACTAAATAGGTTGACATCAATTGGTATAGTTAAGTGTGTGTGGTACAGGGAGTTGGTCATCCAATTGTGCTTTGTGTGTGAACAGAGATACCACGTTTGGCATGCCCCTTGATTTTTAGGTTTCTTTATATGGGGCCATCTCTGGTTTGAGTTTCTATCTCTTGGGCCTTATGGCTGCTTTCATGCTTGGGCAGTTGAGTGTCGTTTTCTTGGGTTAATTTACTTTTTATTTACTATATTATATAGGGCCGTGAACTATAGGGGATGAATAGGTTAGGCTACATAGCCCACGAGATTTCTCTCACCCCAAATTTTGAACCCTAATATGTAGTTATGTACAATATTGCACATAGACATTGCCATTACAAATCTTGTGCCCTATAATTTTTCAAGTATTACTTTCTCACCTTTCAGCCATTCAAGTGAAAAAGAAGTAGACATGATATAGAATTAAGAGAAATTAATGCAAAAAATAGTTGAAGAAAGTAGCCTACCGTATCACTTTGTTTGTTCCTCTAGTTAGTTAGTTTGTTATTTAACATAGTAAAAACCAAATATCACTGCTACAAACTTACAAGAAATAAATAAAAAAAGGGTCATTGATATTAGTTGTACATAACGAGGTAGGGTGAAAAGCATACCAGTAGCTATAATGTCATTGACATAAGTTTAAATCTTATGTACTCATTTTGTGTGTGACATCTTTTGTGGCTTTTATTATTAATTAACTCGTGGCCAAAAGAAAAAAAAATCATGGCCCCACCTAAAGATTAGATTTTGAGTATATAAATACATTATTACGATACAAAAGAAGCAAAAGCTTAGGATTTTGTGGCAAGCTTAATGGGTAAAGAGATTACTACAGGTCCAGCAAATCAAGCAGACAAATCTGCCATTAGGACATGATTTGCTGCACTGCACGATTCCCTTTCTGGTTTGGGGACTGGTAATCGAAATATTCCTGTTGTTTTGTTAATCAAAGTATATTTGTTGTGTTCTTCTACATGTAGAATTTATTTCATGGCTACAGATTAGGGATGGGCAATGGTTATGCAGGCGGGTAACCGCGGTTATTTTACCCATAACCGTTTATGTTCATACCCACATAACCGTTTACCCGTTGGGTAATTACATAAATGGTTATACCCATAATCATAACCGTTTATAAACGGTTATCCATACCCATAACCGTGTACCTATTTACCCATAACCATTTACCCATTTAACCATAATCATAACCATTTACCCGTTTACCCATTTTTTCGCCCGTTTATCCTTTTTTTACCTATTTACCCGTTTTTTTCTCCCGTGTACATTATTTTTTTAACGATAGTTAATCAAAAAATGAAAAGCACTTCCAACTGCTTTTCCAAGAAGCATTTTCAATAAAAATTTCGACTTTTGTTCTTTATTTTTTGAGTTTCTGATCAATCGACTTTTGTTCTTTAATAAAAGCACTTCTCTGTAATTGACCCAAAAAAAAGTGGTGACTAGCAGCGCGAGAGTTAATAAAATCACTTCTATGTTGCAGCTCATTCACTTGCTCCAGCAGCGCGAGTGATGTTGCAGCTCATTCACTTGGTCTTTATTTATATGGAATACTTGACGGCGAGGCTGGCGACGGTGTCCCCGCGGACAATCCGGTGCGAGATGGCGAATTTTCCGATCGAATTGTCCCTCCAGAAGCTTGAAGACGCCGGCTTTCCGATCACCTCCTTCAAATTCCAAGGAACTTTGAAGGCTTTGGCAACGATCTCCTGATCGGAGGCGACGGAGCTCCAGACTACTATTTCGCGCTAAATTTCACTCAACGAGACTACTATTTCCTAATTTTTCAATTATTCTCCATTCTAATCAACAAAACATACCTATCAAAACAAACAGATAGTCACATAAATTTCAAATTTTGGTCTACAGTTAAGATTTTGTACTTCATTGCATCCTAAGCTCAAATTTTTCTATAATTTCACTTCATTAATTAAAAAAAACCTTAAAACCCCCAAAAAATTCGCAGATACAAAATGGAACCCTGGAAGCTGAATCCACGAAACATGTTAAGCGGTACACGAAATTTTAAGAAGAAACATGTTAAGCGGTACACGAAATTGAATTAAGTCGAATCAACCATCACCTCAAACCCTAAATTAATTTCAAATTTACCTGATGTGTGGTCGAGTCGAAGTCGAGAGGCGCAGAGAGAGAGCGACGGAGAGAGAGAGCGACAGAGAGAGAGAGTGACAGAGATAGAGAGCGATGGAGAGAGAGAGAGCGACGGAGAGAGAGACGGAGAGCGACGGAGAGAGAGAGCGAGAGAGAGAGTGACGAAGTAGAGAGGCGGAGAGAGAGAGAGGCGGAGAGAGAGAGGGACGGAGAGAGAGTGTAACTTATTCTCTGAGGGTTTTTAATTTTTTTTTTAATTTTACATATATTAAATTAAATGGGTAAATGGATACCTGTTATAACCGTGAATATTATCCATAATCGATGGATATCCGTTATAACCGCGGATAATACCCATAACCGTCCATTTAAATTTCATGGATAAATGGTTATACCCATAACCATTTATTTGTCTAAATGGTTATCCATAACCATAACCGTCAACTTTAAATGGGCGGGTAACCGCGGTTACCCATACCCATGGGTATTTTGCCCATCCCTACTACAGATTAATTTCTCATTACAAAATGTCCTCTTTTTATTTTATTTTTTTAATTTTCTCTCATCGTATTTGCAGAGTGTGAGGTCAGTAATATTTCTTCATGCTACTTTTGGGATAAATTCAATTTGCCACACTTGGGGACCAACTGTGGGATACAGGCGATTTGTCTCAAAACAACTGGTATTGTTTTATTGGAATTTGTAGTTTAAATGCATTCTTATTTAATCACCTAGGAAATTAAAAGTAAAGTTAATCAAATATGTTTAGGTTAATTGGATTGCTGGCGCATGGAGAAGGTTGGCACAACAATCACCATGCATTTGAACACTCAGCTCGGCACGGCCTAGAGTGGTGGCAAATTGATACTACTTGGTACGTAATAAGATTTCTTAAAGCTGTTGGATTAGCAACGGACGTAAAGCTTCCTACTGAGACTTAGAAGAATTGAAGAGCTATAATGTTAACCAACAATAACAACCAAATCAGTGACAAAAAAGAACTCGACACAGAAGTCAACAATGGAAAGCGTTGAAGTTAGAGCAACTCCAGCGGATGTTGGTTGCTCGGGCGACAGGGGAGGAAAGGGCCTGAGGGCCGGTGGGAGCAGCTCCAGCGGGGAAGGGCCCGAGTGAGGGTGGGAAGCCGAGCGAAGGCGGGGTGGGGAGTCGACGGGCCTGTGGCCCGAGTGCTTTGCAATTTTTTATATTTTTTGTGTCAGAGAGAGAGAGAGAGAGAGAGAGGTTTTTTATTATTTAAACAAACAAAAAAAAACTATTATTTTGATTGCTTATTGACAGGGGGGAGGGTTCCAAGGGTGGAGATGTAAATGGAAATTACTGTTTATTAATGGTAGTTACTATTCATTTAAGGCAGTTACTGTTTAATAGGGTGGATTGAATAATGGATTGCCAGGGAAAAGGGCTCCATGGGTGGAATTGCTCTTAATGAAAAGTTTTTATGTCACTAGAACTGCAAACTGCTGCTGCTTTGTGCCGTCCTCTCAAGTACATAGAGTAGTCCATGGATCGTTACTTTTGCTTGTGGTATTTACCAGTTACCAGGCAATTTACAAAGTTATACCAAATTTATAATAAATAATGTCGTATGTCGGTTATGCTAGTAATGTGTTGTTAAATTTTGTTTTATGTTCCCCTTTTGAATTCATGAAATAAATAATCTTGTTTACTTGAGTAAGTGTTCGGTGAATTTGGAAAATGAGTTTCATGGAACGAATTTACTGTTATTGTGGCGTTGCAAGCCACTAATACGAGGTTATGTAGAGGAAGTTTTACACATGATCTTATACTTCAAGATGAGGAACTCCTAATTAGTAGTTGTGCCACATCGATATATCACTTCAGGTGTAATTTTAATCGTGTTATGTTTATTCTTGTGGTTTACTATACTAATAAATTTATCCAAATAGTCAATATTTATTAATAACTTAGCATCCTTGTATGAGTTATGTGGTGGGCATTATAATACCTAACTCCATACCAAATAAACTTGAAAACACACACGTTAAGAATTATGAGGACACGAAAAGGTTGATGTGTCAGTGTCTAGGGTATGATATGAACATATAGATATACTCATAATATGAATACATTGAGCAAAATAATGTTGTTACAATCACACTGACAACTCACCAAAGCGGTGGGTTTTGAACAATCTATTAGGTTAATTAAGCATGCTAAGCTGAGTGTTTTGTAGCGATCAAAACTCAAAAAGTGGTTGGTTCAACATCAGTTAATTACAAGAGGTGTGATAAGACGGTAATTAAAAATCCTAACTAGTTTTGAGTTTATATTAAGAGAAGTGAAAGCACTCTTAATACACAAGGACTATTAGAAATGTGCTAGTTCTTGAAAAGATGAACACATGCAAATGAATCTTCATTTTTTACAAATTCATGTAACTATTATCTGTTTCAGGGATAGTTCATACGCATACATGATCAGTGAGTACACAAATCAAACTAATTTTGTTTCAATATCAATAATGGAGAAATTTACCTTGAGGAGTGCACAAAACATATATATTTTTTTTTTGTAAGTAACATCTTCCTCATTTGATACTGATATTGGGAGAGAGGAATTGAGTTCTCAGTGCGATGGAGTGATAAACGCACTTAACCAATTCAACTGCAAATCTCTTATTTTAAGAGCGTTATTCTTATTAATATACTTGCCTCCCCCACTAGTGTGAAACGTTTTAATCTTGATATCTGTTGGAGGGACTTTTAGGTTTAGCTTTGGACCTTTTATGATGATTGAGTCTTGAGACTTGATTGGGCTTGTATGTGACATTTTTGAGCCTCTACAGTATCGAACATATTTTTCACTTGAATTTTGCAAAGGTTGCAAATACCTCATATTTAACTTGAGAGAATACAACCAAGTGTACTACGAAAAATCGTCAATGAATATATGTCATAATAATGGAATCTAGAAACAGATAAATTTGGATAACTTCATATATCAGAATAAACTAATTGCAATATGAGAGATGTTCAAACCTGCACCCATTGAAACCATTTACATGATCAGAACCCGTGTATTATTTGAGGATTTGTGATCTAAGCAGCATCACTGTTTATGTGGTGTTGGCTCCAGAGTTAAGAGCCAAGTTGTAGGTGGCGGAGGAGCAGCAGTACGGGGAGCAGATGAACTGGCAGCATAAGCAGTGAAACAGGATGATGGAACACATTCCTCATAGGACATGTTCAGGCGATTGAAGCAGTCAATCGCTATTACTATATTCTTTACTTCTTTCATGCCAAAAGAAAGAATCAAGCTGCTTATAGATCCAAGTATTGCAAGTGTACATTTACAAGAATCAAAGGTTGTTGTAGCCTAGAAGGTAAGGCGGCATAACCTGCTACACCGAGACATTATCTTAGAGGGGCGAAATATACTCTTATGTATAGTGAACTTACACGCCACAACCTAAAATTTTGTTCTAATCAAGCATCGACGAAGAGTGATTTCTACCCTATAAAAATAAGTATTTTATTATATTTGTTTATTTTAGCTAATTAATTATGGCAACGTAAATTACTATGTGCTAATATTTATCTTATGTGATTTGTGGTAGAAAAAGTAAGTTCCATATAACCAATATTTTCAACAGGTTTTTCATTCTTTACAGTTTATAGAGTGTGAGGACAATACTTTATATCCACGTTACATTTGCCACAAATGAGGAAAGCAAGTTGGGATAATGGTGATTTGTCTATCTGACAATTATTATTATTTGATGGAATAAAGTTTCTAATTTTCATGGATAGTAGTAAATATAATGAATTACTTCAATTGTTTTAGGTTGTTTGGATTGCTAGCACATGGAGAAGGTTGGCATAATAATCACCATGCTTTTGAGTACTCAGCTCGACAAGGGTTTGAATGGTGACAAGTTGATCTTACTTGGTATGTAATAAGAATTCTTCAAGCTGTTGGTTTGGTAACTGATGTTAAACTCCCAGCCAAGAGTCAAAAGAAACGAAAGGCTTTGTACAACAAAATAAGCAAGAAAAATGCTTAAACTGACAAATTTGAAGCTCATCATGCAGTGACAGATTTAGAATTCTAATTTTGGAGATCCTAGTTTATTATAAAAGATTCAAGATTTTTGTAGATGGAAATAAAGCGCAACGCTAAGGGTTTTTAATTTTATTTTTTTAAATAAAGCATTTTGTTGAGTATTTGGTGGGTATGTGGGTGGCCTTGCCTTGTTTATTTTTTCTGAAGATAAAAACCTTGCTAAAATATTCCGTGTCCATTTTTGTTGAGAACTAGTAAATTGAAAGGTCTTTTTTTCCTGGGTATTAGTAATTTGAAAGGTTTTATTTCTTATAAGATACTAGCAATTATGTGGTGAAGAAATATTAGTAATTTGAAAGATTAAAAACTATATTTATATAGAACATAAAGAGTTATATTTTTTTTTATAAACAATAATGTTAGTGGGTTAAATTATTAATTGTTAAGAGAGAGGGAGATTAGTGAAGATCAAACGTACATGCATCATGGTGCATAGACATGATTGCTTTCTGTTATTGTGATTAAGCGCCATTAGCACAACATAAAGAATTATTTAGCATTGAATACATTTGCATGTTTACTATATAATGTTTATTAGTTTCTAAGTAAAAGTACTTATATGTAATGGGGTTAAGTGGGTAATCATGTTTGGCGTTGGTTAGGATAGAAGACGGTCGTCCAAACTCCAAAGTAGGAAAAAAAGGGTAAAACGACAACGTTTGGGTAAAACATGAGCAGGGGGTACAAAACCGATCGTCTTAATTTCGATTTGACCCTGCCGTATCTACAACTACAAAATTTTAGACCATGGCGATTAGAATCCAGCTAACGGTGGCTCTTACCTACTAATTATATTTTTCACAATTAATTTAGCAATTCCAGCTCTCCCTATAGCTCCAACGCCTAAGGTTAAGGGTGGTCCTCCTCCTCCTCCGAGGTCGTTCGCAATTGTTTTTTTTTGATTTCCGGAAGGGCTCAACATGATTCACTACCAATATCACCAATGTTATTCCAATTTATATATCTGTTGACTCTAAAAACTACCAAGCATAGGTGGCGCGCAGGCCGAGTAACTAATGAGCTAATTACGTCGTTCGGTTGTATGCGGGCGTGCCAACTCGTCGGCCGAGCTTGGCCGAGGAGTAAAATGTGTTGATTTTGCGTTAGGTGCGCGGCTAACTTCTCGATCTTACGACTGTAGCCGAGGAAGGAACACGTCCTAGCCTTTGGGTTCTAGAGCCTGAAGACAAGGCTACTAGTTTTGCGAAGTTCACAAATCGTCGGCACCGGATTCGGTCACAGTGATTATATTCGTAAGAGTATAAGCACGCCGAATCGACACCAAAGTATAGGGGCACAGATACTCAAACAGATATATGTCTTGATGGTAAATGTGGTTCGGCCGTCAGAATGTCAAACTCTAAAGCCTACTTGTGAGTATCCAATCATCAAACAACTCGGCGTTCAATGTGCCGAGCCCTGGTAACACCTCACTTCGCCAAGAATGCTAATGAGATAACCTCTGCCAATAAGGATTCGAAAATCCTTCTCGATTGAGACTTGGATAGATAACCAGTCGGCCCTGTCGCAGTGCTGTTTATCCAAACTAAATGTGCTTCACAGTCAGCTGATTCTAAGGTAACATTGTTGTTTATCCAAATTGAAGATGTTCGCCGGTTGCCTTCACAGTATTGTTTATCCAAACTGAAGATGTGTTGGCGAAAAAGAAAATAAAAATCTCAAGATGTTTGAGAGGTTTGCGTAGAGCGAGGGTTTGCGCAGGGCAGTTTGTGTGTTGTGTTGGAGAGCCTTAATGATGTCCTCTTCTCTCTATTTATAGTAGTCAACCTGCTTCCGATCGAATCACAACCATACTCGGACTAGAACTCCTTCCCCCGATCTAACCTTATCTCGGCCA